TGCTTATTTTCGGGTATATTCTCATCTAATAATTTGAATGATTTGATATTTTGTTGCTTATTTCTATTATATAAGAGATGCTTAATTTCGGGTATATATGAATTGTAGGGGTGCTTATTTTCGGAGGAATACGGTAAGTGTCTGCTTTATAGTAAAATTTTACAAGGAATTTTTTTAATTAAGCAAAATTTTGAGTTATCTGCAATTTTTGAAAAAACTTTGTTGTTTTCGTAAAATTTCACGTTACACGAGATCCTGAATTTTGATTGGTAGATTATCATTCGGAGTGCCGGAAATCACATGACCCGACACCTCGTCTTTGCCATGGCTAGGGTACTTTATAATTTTACTGATCATACAGTAATAAGTATTACGAATTTAAAAAAAAAAACTTAATTTTTATATTCATTAATAAAATTTAATACCATTTTAATAAAGTTTATAACGCAAAAATCTTCAATGATACAAACTTAAGTGCGGTGCGTATGTTTATACAATTGGACATTTACCAGTAATTTTTCGATAACTCCAACTTTAATAATTAATTTAAAAATTTCAAGAACCCTATTCTTAAAATTATACTTATGACGTACTTTATTTTACAATGTTAAAATTACGTACTGGTACATCAGGTTATTGGCTTAGTAATCAGCCACAGTAATCTGCACCAATCGAATTCAGATGTGATTCATATCTGGTACGTACGTACGTACGTACGTTTCTTTTTGAACTTTTCACTTTGCATTTCTCCAACCGTCCTGTACGTTCTTGTAGATTCTCTATTTTCTTTTAATTTGTAAATACGTAATGATTTATATGTAAATAGAGTATGTAGAGACTTTATTTAAGATGAATGTAGGGAAACGTTATTATTATTTTTCTCGTGTTAAAAGATAGCTTGGATAAGTTATATGAAGAACTTTCTATATAAGAATTTTTTTATAAACTGTACAATACGTATTTATTTTATAAGCTATACATACTTTATATTCATTTAGAATCTATCCAAATTTTTAAGGTCAATGTTTTCTCGTTATTTCGTATTTACAGTAATTTGGTACTTTGATGAATAACTATAATACTACTAGAAGTTATAAAGGGACGAGGAGATGTACTTATTTGAAAATGAAAAAGACATGACTCGGGTTGAACAGGAGGAAACGTACCTGATCCAAACTTAATCCCACACCTGGCGCGCAACACATACTAAAATCATTTCACAATGATGGGTCACTTAACCGCCAATGTCATAAATATAAACTTTCGCAGTTTGGATTAGGCACGTTTCCTCCTGTTCTCGGGTTGTAATAAATTTTAAAGAATGGTGTTTTTTGTTTGTAATTTATTATAGTTTGTATTTGAATTTATTAAAAAATTGTTAAATGGTACAAATTACTTTGGCTGATTAATGCGCCACCAACCTGATACACATTCAAGGATGATTATGACTGCACAGCCGTCTACAGGTGTTGCTAATTTTAGTAAAACCGTTACGACTGATAATAATTATATTCGGCCGAATAATTGAGGTATTTTCATAATTCAACCAATTGGATCACATAAGCACATACTAGTAAGACAGCATAGTAAAGTGATAGTTATTTACTAGTATATATTTGAAAACACTATGGTGTCGTTAGCCATGACATCGTTTCGTGCTTTAATAATTGGATTATCCGGCATTTATATTATCGAATTTTTACGTTCAAACTGTGGTATTACGTTTGAAGTTCAAAATTTTATGCGTATTAGTTTACACATTTGATCCGGAAACATATTAAATTCGGTACGGATTTAATATAAGCCGGATCAATGTGTAACTCACGTGCATAAGATTTATAAAATATCAACTGTCGAATAACAATCAGTAAATAAAAGGGAAATGTTATTTGCACACTACATGTCTGTACTCGGGGTATGTTTATATCTTAAAATTTTGATTACGAAATAGCTTTTAGGGTTAATTTTTTGGTTATAAAAATTAATAAATTTGTATGTTATACGTACAAATTTGTAAATCAATTAATTAATACCCGTGCACATACACTTTGTGTGAAAAAAAGATTTTTTTTCAAATAGATAATGCTAGATAATTGAAATTATACGAATTATTTGGCAATAACGTTATTCAATATCGATCATTGGTGCACCGCACATAGTCACGTGATAGATGCAGATGGGAAGGGAAATCCCGCGCCCTGATTGGAGCTTTCCCAGTGCTGTAGTGCAACCCTTAAAACTTCACAATCGGAAAATTTCTTTAAAGTCCGATTTATTAGCGTTAGGGGAAACTCTTGTAAGAGCAAAAAAAACACATATGTGTATTACTAAAGTTCGTCAAGTAATCCACATTGTGGCTGACATTTTGTGGCCCATTATCACGGCATATAAATGACGAAAAATTAATTTACGTACGTACGTACGTATGCATGTACGTGAAATTATCGTGTGTTCAAGATTACGATTATTACATGAAATTTTAATTTACCCGAAACTAATACAAAATTACGTAAAGTCACATAAAATTAATGATCGGGTAATTTGGTTTATGCGATTTTTTTTCAAAAATGGATAATTACAATTTTGTGCAATGTAATACGATCATGAAAATCAAAACAAATGTCTATCGGCTATTCGCGAAATTTTTAAGTATCACTGAACTGCGGATTTTTATGCGATAAGTTGTTATATTGACCGCAGAACTATCGATCTTCAAATCTCATTGGCTTTTCCTGTCAAGCATTGCATTATATTGCATTAACTTTACTTAAACAAAAAGGGTCCTTACTACGCTTCGGACAATAACGAATATACTATATAACTACTTTTTGTTCAGCCTGAGTGTTTATTATATCGATGATTGACGGTATACTACTCCAGGTCATTCACTCGCTAGAAACAGTTTCATACATAATTACGGAACCACATAATAATAAAGAATATTTACTACATGATAAGTATATGCTAAATCTTTAGTATAAACAGAGGCATTGCAAGTAGGCAAGAAGATATTTGATGACACTGAAGCAAAAGGTAAACTAATTCAAAAGAAATAAAATACTTGTTATGGATAAAAGCAAAACTATACGAATTAAAAAAAAAAACAATTTTTAAACAAAACGATCGAAAGAAGTATACGGAAAATCCGTGGAAAACATTGCTATCGTATGTTACATAAACGAACTCAAGATCAAGAAAGCCAAGGATTAGAAATCCAATATGGGAACCTTGAAAATGTGTTCCATATAATAATTCAAACACAAACACTAAAGCAACCCTTATCAAATAAGTCAAATAAATACTCTCATGAAATCTTTTGGTTCACCTATCATATAAGTCAAATAAATTCTACTATAAAATCTTTTTAGTTCATACGTAATTATCCTTATCGTTTCACTATGTTCATGGTATGCCTTAAAGCGCTATAATATTTGAATGCACGAATAAAATGGAAGAATTATAGTCTTCATGATCTTTTTAATCATTGTTTTTAGCGTTGTTTGTATTACAAAGTCGATTGATCGTTACTAGTCTCATATGTACATAGTTAAATAAATATGTGAGGTGTTTACTAAAAAAAAAAAACATAAATAATAATAGATTTTTTAGAAAACTGATGTAACACTATTTAGCAGGAAATCCATAAGTGATCAAAGAACTTATAATTAATGCAAAGTACAGCATAATATTAATATATCAAATTCGTGTAATAAATTAAATGTTATATATTTCCAATTATTACAAAAAGCTTAATTGTATGTACGTACGTACGTAAGTCCTATTATTTACGTAAAATTGATGCACAAGAATAATTTAATATAATTAAAGTATAAATTCATCGTAGTGACATTTTTCTGTAAATTACTTCTTTATTTTTTTTTTGAGATGATGAACTTGACATACATTTTATTACTCATATTGCAATTATTTGCAGTATTTGCATATTCATATTCTCCAATTCCACGATCTGGCCATCTATCAGCATTTATTAACAATAAATTATATTTTATTGGTGGTTCAACAACTCTGGATAGATCTGTTATTACAAATGATTTCTTTTACATTGATTGTTCTGTGAACTTTAATAGCACAATTGAAAGTATACCTTATAAAAATCTTTCAGATTTAGCCGGAATTCCAAGTATTGATGTAGCCGGTTCTTCTATCATTGGTCCTTATAATGATATAATATTAACTTTTGGTGGTATAGGAAAAAATAATAGATTTGGTTATCAATTAATATACACTTTTGATACAAGAACTTATATCTGGAAACCTTTAACAACAAATGGAATTATACCACCTATAAGAAAAGGTGTTCGACCTATATATAACTCTGGAAGATTGTATGCCTTTGGAGGATTTGATAATATTAATGGAATAGCTTATAATTACATCGATTTGCTAGATATTATTGGATTTACTTGGTCAAATAATACCTTAGCAGATGGCCTTTCTGGAAGAGACGGCTACGGATCTGCTTTATTGCCAGATGGTAACATCTTATATTTAGGTGGATATTTCTCTGGTAAAACTATTGACTTAAATATTGTAAGTTTGGAAATTTCTTTTATTTTATACAAATAGACATACAGATAATCAAGACAGACAGATAATCAATTTTTTTATTATTTTTATTGAACTTGTGATATTATTTAGGCTTATTTGTATAATACGAATAATAATACATGGCGAAATACGGTATATTAAAGTTTCTTTATGATATTCTCTTAGCTGTTAATATTTTTTTCCTTAATATGTAACATGTGGTAAATTTTTCTTGTTATTTTAAAGACTACACAAGGTGCAATTCCTGAAAGTCGTGGATATTTCACTTCTGTGTTAGGTAATTGAAATTCTTGACAAAGTTCTTTTACAATATTCTTTTATAATATCAGTCATAAATTAATACTAAAATTTTTATCAAATAAATCAAAGGTTTAAATAAAACTCGATTGATTATATATGGAGGAGAAAGCACAAAAGGTTCTAATCATGCTGCAGCACCAACTTTAGCTGTATTGGATTTGACTTCAGAACCTTTTAAATGGATTTCTCAAACTGTGTCTGGTGATTCTATACCTCCACCTTTACTTCTTCATACAGCAAATGTTGTTAATAATTATATGATTATAGCATATGGTATGTATTAATTATAAATTATTTATTAAATAATATTATTGTATATAATTTTATTAACATACGTATTAAAATATTAAATTACAAATAGGCTTTAATTATCAAACTAATTTATTAAGTAATAATATCTATATTCTTGATATAAGTAATGACTCTGAATATAAATGGGTAAATGAATTGAATTTAAATCAAAAAAATTTATCATTGGTTAACTTGCCAACGTCGGTTTATAATAATTCATGTACAGATAACAAAGGCATTAGTTCAACAATATTTATTATTTCACTTATAAGTGCTGTTGTCGGCACTACATTATTAATTTTTTCTTTAAGTGCATGTTATAAATGGTATAAATTTAATGGTTTTAATAAGGAGGTTTTTGAAACTGCAGGAAGTAAATGAATTCAATAAAATAAACAATATGCTATTTTTTTTTTTTTAATATACATATACAGCTAGTGTATATTTGGTAATTGAGTTAACGGATTTTTGGCAATCAATTTTCATTATTACGTATAGTTATTTCATTATATTTTATTATTGTGTGACTCTATAAAAAGAAGCTCTTTAAATTGTGCTTATGCATATAAACATCCCTACGTAGTTAGAATAATGCTTCCTTATTTTAATTAACAGCAGAGACCGTCAATGTTACACATATATTAAAACGGGTGAGGGATTATATCCATCACAATTGAATCCAATATAAATAATTTAATTTGTGATTGACAGGAGAGAGGGATTCACTCTGGATCAGGCATTGTCTCTACTGTTATTTTAATTAGGATTAGCATAAAGTTTAACAAAAGAATATCCATATAAATATGTCATGAATTTGAAAACGTTTCATAACGATAAGATGGTGTTACGAAAAATAAAGTGATATCATTAAATAAGCTTTTTTGTGTAATGTTATATAATAGCATCTTTGTCAATTTGAGTCTAATAGAATGAATCTAAAAGGGTTATTTTTTGTAAATAGTGGGAGGTTCTAGAGCATAGGTTGATTAGTATTTTTAGAGGATTCTTTGTGGACCGGGTACACTTTTGGGAAGATACTTGTATCCGTTACATTTTTAGTACTTTTATTGTATTATGCATAGTAATAAATAATTGGTTTCCTATTTTTAATGCTTACGACCTGTAGTTAAATTGGCAGTGCAATAGACAAGTCTCTCCATTGTCGTAACAATGGTCTTAATGTTCTAGATTTTGACCCTGTCAGGGACTTGGAAATTTTTGGAAACAAATTTTTGAACAAAGCCCGGGTAGAATTGAATAAAGTTTTCTCGATTGTTATTGCTACACAAAATCATGTTAATTGATAGTCTGCAGCGCTTTTCTAATGAAAAATAATACCAATTTTCATTATTTCGGAATTGATTTTAATATGAAACCACAATGCCGAAATAGTTTTTGCAGCATGTATACATAGTCCCTGACCTGTGTTGCGGCATGTTACACATGATCTGATTTTACTGAAAAACTACGAGTTTATTTATAGAAAAAAATTTTTCATACAAACATTACACTGCATACGTTTACAAATTTCTTTTTTTATCCTTCTCAGTTATAAGGATTGGAATCGGTTTAGTCTACTAAAAAATCCGTATAGTAAAACTAATATGCGTAAATGACTAATTAGTCGACTAAACGTAATACGTAGTCACTAGGTTGATTCCAATCTCTAACAGTAATTGCTTTGTTAAACACACCAAATCCAAATCCTCATTATTTCAATATTAATCAAATATATATGCCGTACGTTGGAATGGAATTATTATGGATTTAGAATCCACATAGGTCGATTCCGAATAAATATAGGTTATAATAGAATTCTAAATTGTATTCGAGTTGTTAAAAAATTCAAATTCAACTTAATATTAAGTGGATTTTAAATTACTTTATCAAGTATAGTATATTGTTTTGGAATTTAAGTCATTTTAAAATAAGGTCTATTAATAATACAAACACAACTCATCACAAATTAAAAAGTTTTTATATTTATGATTGGTAGAATAAGAACTACTACCACAAAGCAAAGTTCATTTTTTTTATAATTATAATAATTTTTATCACATGCATTTTTGCAATTATATTTAATATTATCTACTTGCAAAAAGGATTATATAATAAATACTTCTTGAATATTTATAAAAGTTGAAGTAATATTATTTAATTCGAAAACTTGTTGGAACACAATGAATACAGGTGGTTTGTGTCAAGTAAATAAGCTAGATTATAGGGATTGTTGGTGTTTCAAGATTACGTATAGAAAATGTATTTGTTGTCCAATAATGATCTCAAAGTCTTTATGTGTATTAAAGGTTTAACATTGCCTATTAGCTGATTTGTTGCTAAGCAATTCACCAAATGTGTTAGAAGATTGTCAAATATAAAGTTGTAAAGAATGAAAAAGAGAAAAAAAATGTAATGAAACTTTTGCATCTAAATATTTTGCCAATTTACAGTGGACCTCCTTAAGTGCACAGCTAGTGATGTGTCATTTATATGTTACCCAAATTTTTTTAGCGTGCAGTACGTACAGTACGTACAGTACGTATAGTACTTATATATAAAAAAATTTTTTTTTTTTTTTAAGTGATCCGCGATGCAAAAACATTGTTTTTGACCCACTTAACCCTTTTTTATTGACCCACTCTAAAAAAAAAAAAATTGC